TATATATATATATATATTCTGGATAAAATGTACGAACATAATAGTCAGTCAGTCAAAATGTGCAACTAGTTTCCCTATACTAAAATTATTATGGTTATGTAAACAAACTAACAATGACACTCTCAATGGTAACTTTCGATCAGAGCAAGCTACCTACTAAAGATCAAAAAATAAAATACAAATTAATCCGTTAATGAATATAGCTAATTAAGTATAATTTTCTTACTTATAAAGATTGGAACACATTGCTTCATCAGTTGGGTACTCTAGCTTTTAACGATGTTTTCGGTGTTATACCCCTAAATAAATACTTTGTTTTCTTTCTTCTTTTTTTTTAACTGATATCTTAATCGCTAGAATAATTAGTATATGGAATATTTTGCAAAACTACCGAGCTGAAACGGCAATTATAATACTGTTTTCTGCCGACATTTATCTTAGAAAACTCTGCTATTTCTACTGTTTCTCTTAAACTGATTTAGTTTAATTATATACTGGAAACGTACAGAATCACGTCATCAGGTGCTTCGTGCACCACGAGGCTCTCGGATCAAACAGTGCACGACGAAAACTATATTTAGCACAGGAAATTGGACTGCCCGCTTTATCCACTACAAAGGTAGTTGGTCACACTACGATCAACTGATAGTGTGTGATACACAGCGTAAACTTTTAATACATTAGCAGCAGTACACAGACTTGGGATATATACTGTATATCAATCAAGCTATAGTTGGCATGTCGGTCCGGTTTTCATATACACACTAGAAGCAGTTATCTCAACTTCTTTCCTATAATACTGTTATTCGACAATTTGATTTTAGATGTTTTTTGTTTGTCTTTTCTTTTTTGTGTTTCCCTTGATCACAAAGCTACGGAATATACTAAAAAACTCGAGTATGTGAAAGAATGGAAATGAAAAATAGGAGCAATATTAAGAACATGTAAATAATTTTAACGTTCAGATTGGATAATATGTAGAATTCAGCAGATACAGACACCAATATTCAAATAAACAGAGGAGACTAATTTTGAACCTGAACCGCATTTGAAGCGCACGTGGAGTAAACGACCAGGTCAGTGACTCCTAAAATTCATATATAGCCACTCCTAATTTTGAGCTACTGACCAGAGGAAAGAAAGACAACAGCATGTGTGCGTGTGTGTGTGAGAGAGGGGGGGGGGGGGCTGTATATTAATATATTTTAATAATTATACACAAACCAAACGCTAGAAAATATTAAACAGAGATTTGCTACAAAACTTCATCTTCATCGAAAATGTAGTTTTCTTCCACCAGAGCTATTGTAATTGTACACAAACATATATAGATACATACACTTTGATTAGGGGGAAAATGCCTACGACAACATAAAGTATGATAACGTTATATCCTTACATACGATTTCATTCACTTCAAATGCATGGTGGTGTAAAAATGTATAGAAGACTAATTTATTATGCCATCGCAAAAAATATAACAATAAAACAAACAATAAAACTAACACTCTATCCAGATTTGTAAAGTTTTAATAAACCTAACTGGAATGGAATTGAAATTTCATTTAATTGTTTTATATTCTTTGACAAATATTGGCTCAAAATAAGCTGCATAAAAATTCAACAAATCAGATATAAATATTGAATACGTATATATATATATATAACAGAATAACTCTGAAGAATAATAGTTTTTACACAAGGATGGAAAACTAACACAAAAATTACCTTTCACAATAATATATATCCAACAATTAAAAATGAAACAATAAATATATGTAAAAGTTTCATACACTTAGATTTTATAATATATAGTTACTCACAAATGTGTATAATATAGCACAAAACACACCACTCAACACTTAATTTTTTTTCCATACTAACCCCGTATAAAAACGGGAGCTACTTAAGTCACTACGAGACTGAATTCCTATCTTTTCCAAGTTGTTTCTTTTTTCTTTTAAATACTTTTCTATTCCATGAACGTAGATAATAATGCATACTGTTACGTCTCCGTTTGTTAATTAATTTTCCGTAACTTCGTTCCGACGAAACTTTAGCGACACCAGTCCTTACTTAATAAAACTGTTTTATTCTTTCCGAATATAACTTTACGATACACTTAATTTCAACAATCGCGCTAAAACAAACGCTATAACAACGAACGTGCTCAATAATACTCTCTGACTGCAGATCAAATACTCACTACCTACACACACATTATTGTTCCGTCACGTTGTCACCCTCTTTTATATACAAGACTACCATATATCTAGTAAATGCTAGAGCATTCGCCAAGGTACAGGATAGTTCTAGAAACGTGGCGTGACACTAGTCATGTGACCTCGCTGACGCAACAATACTAACAATAACATTTTCATTTATCATAAACATAAATACTTACAACAACAAATCTGTAGGATTAAAATGTACTAATCCTCTTAACTTTTAATTAAACTGTACTTTTAAACTTGTAACGATTAATCTAAAACTCTGAAACAAAATCGGTTCAAGGACATTCTGAACGTGTAGATAGTGTAACATGTAACGTGTAACATGTGTTACAGTCAGAAATTAATTTTGATCTACATTCGTTGTACTTTACAAATCACAGGTAATTATAATTCATTAATAATTATTAAACTGCAAGAATATTTTCTAAGTTATAAAAAACGGAAATTTCAATGATGTTTTATCATTTATACCATAACAATGAAAACCAAACATCAAAACACGAGATAACGTACAAATATGTAAAAAGCTAACGTACTGAATTTTAATGAAAGTTTAAATGATTGATATAAACCTATCTCGAACACACTATTTAACGACCTTTACTATTTTGAGAACGAGGTTGTTTTATTGGTTTTGGTTGCGAAACAGGGCGATACTCCTGGTGTTTAACTAGGTGGTAAATATGTGACCGAAACGGTGAAAAAAGAACAAAGTGTAGATGGGACACTTGAATTTTTACTTTCATTTAAAGTGGAGGAACAGCCACCCACATTTGTTCAAGTTCTAACTTGGTGTTAAACAGGGATTAAAATAGTCAATTAGACATTAAAATAAATATATAAAATCAAGTGTTAAACATAAATTAAAACTGAAAGAATTTTTTTTTAATTTAAGTTAAGCACAAAGCTACACAATGGGCTATCTGTGCTCTGCCCACCACGGGTATCGAAACCCGGATTCTAGCGTTGTAAGTCCGCAGACATACCGCTGTGTTACTGGGGGGCCTGAAAGAGGTAAACGGAACAATATGTAGCTTATACACCAATGAAAGTGTTAATTAGAACAAATTGAAATATATAGTGAAACAGTGATAAAAAAAGACATAAAAGTACGAAACTACTTTTTAACTTAAGCTACTGAGATTCCAAAGACTCAGTAGCTAAATTCCTTAATTTGTACATAAAATAAAACTAATAAATATAATTGTAAAAAAAAATATTGTAATGTCCTAATGGTACAGCCATAAATATACATGTATTTATATATTTCAGTGCTATTATAAATTATACTCGAAATTACATCATATATAAAATATGTGAGCCGAGTAAATAAAAACACAAACCTATTCTTGAGCCTCTTACTGATATTTACTTGCAATCAAAGTTGTATAAGTAAATTTTACAATGAGAGAGAGAGAGAAAATGTCACTTAAAAGTCCAAGCAGTTGTTCGACCAATATCAAACCATTACGATGTTGCCCGAGAGACGAAATAACGTGAGAGAAAATGCTGCTAAAGTATTATTGCAACATCTTTCCAACAGCGGAAATAACACTGACTGTGGTAAAATAACTTCTTCGTGTAGTATATCAACATTAACAAGAATTTCTGTCATACATTATGCACTATGTATATATATACACTAGGATCTGAGTTTTGTAATAAGATTTAGAGTTTGTATTAGATTGATTATATAGTTCAATAAGTTCTTGACATGAATTTCTGCCATTTGGAAATGTGTGCGTTATTCCTTTTTTTCGTATTTATTGTTAATACCATACTATGGTAAACGTCGTTATTAGCCCCTCCTATTGTCCGTAATTGTACACTAAATCTGCACACAATCTGAGATCTTTATAATCACCCTCTATTTTTGATAGATAAGTAAATTTTAGGTCAATATGATCTTGCTAAGGTCTGGATTTACTCGCACTTAACTATCATGATCATCAGTATGCATCAAATCTCTTCGTTTTTTTTGTTTTGTTTTGTTTTTTATGGTGTAATGCAAAAATATCATTCAAACGTTATTCAACTGAAGTACAACTGAATCCCAGCTTGAAAGTTTTGCATTGTTGATTCAATTTTTCTTAGCAATTCCAGAGTTAAAGAAACACAATAGGCCTTTTTTTTTTCCTTTTCATTATTACCGTTTTATTTTAGAGACTGCACGACACACTTATCATTTCATTTTCAATGGTGTGTGTGTGATTCTTTTTTTTTTAATTATTTACAGAATAAATATCACTTTTTATCTATTTAGATACTAAAGCCTGATGAAACTTACCACCTTGCGTACTGGTGATAGTAGTAAGTGCTTCACTGAACGAGACCAAAAAAATGATGACTACGACCAACGCTGGCAATGACCTACTGCACAAGACTTTGGTCAGATTTTCCACACACAACTCCATCTAGTTGTATTGAGTGATCTACGAAAGAATATCTGTGTAAGTTGTGACTAGTGTTAAGTTGTAACTTGCTGCGACTAAACAATATTACACAGTACACGCGCGACCGTTTGTTATAAATACTCTAAGAGTAAAATATCTCTCCTTTCATTTCCACACCACCATATCACTTCAATGTTTCAAATAAGCTAATAACCTCTTCTGGATGAACAGCAGTTAGCTTTCAGATTTAAGTATAAAACAAGAAATGTTCACGAACCACTAACACCACCAAGCCCCTCATATACGTCCTTTCGTATAATACACTCGTACTGGAAACCACAGCACACAACCTCTTTCTTCAATAATCACTGCGCATGAGCAAAACGATTCCATATATAGCGCCATCTGTGAAGCGTAATAAGATTAAATTTTAGCACCAGTGAATTACCAAAGCGCAATAAAACGAAAAGATAATGCAGGAATCAAAGGATCGTGAATAGTTACTACATATTCTAGTTAAAATAACAAGACAGAAATGTTGTAATGATGAACAACATATTGTTGTATAATATAATTTTGCCTTGAATTAAACACCATTCTTAAAAAACTCAAATTATTACAATGTATAAAAAAGGTAATTTATTTGAGAGTTAGTATTAGATTGTCGGTACGTATAGTTCCAGAACATCATTCCGATATTATAATGCATAAATGCCCTGGGGGGGGGGGTATTTTCAATCTGCTCAGTTCCTTGTAAGATAGGTGGGCTAAACAGCAAGGTGATAGACACTAAAATTCAAGTATAGCCATGCTTAACTTAGGACTTCTGACCGAAGAGAAGGCATGGAAACCAGTCAATAGCATCCGCTGCTTACATGGCTATTATTAACTGAACATCGGAACTGATCTCCACAGCTGAATGTGCTGAACGTATTCATCTCCATATCAAAGTTTGCTTTTTTTTCGTTACATAGCATTATCTTTAAAATCTACATTATAAAAAAAGTAACATCAGCATTTATTTTTAAATTATTTAGTAGCTGTAAATATAAAGTTAACAGTACGGCTGTACTTATTATCTTTATATGAGGTTACCACAATAGATCTTATAATGTATATAACAGGATGACCTTAATAAAGAAATCTAAATTTGTTTTCTTTTTATTTTTGATATAGATAAGATGAATATAAATAAAAATGCGTGACTTGGCTTTACTCTTTATAATGCTTATCATTACTGTTCTACCGTTTGCCTTGTATGACCTAATGGTTAGGGAAATCGACTAGAAATATTATGTTGGCGGGATCGAATCCTGGCGCCAAATATGCCCGCCTTTTCAGACGTAGGAATTACAATGTAAAGGTCAGTCTCGCTATTCGTTGGTAAAAACTAAACCAAGAGACGACAGTGAGTGCTGACGACCGTTGTCTTTTCTCTAGGAAGCAGTTACAAATAAGGACGGCGACAAATAGCTATAGTAACTTTGCCATGAGCAAAACAAACAAACTTTTGCTGTTTAAATGACTTGGTGTTTGCCATAATGAAAAAAACAAACTTAACTGTTACATGTGAAGTTCTCTAGTGGGTCAGTGGTAAGTTTATGAACTTAAAACTCTAAAATCGGGTGCTCAATTCCCTACTGTGGACATAGGTGCAGATACACCATTGTGTAGCTTTACACTAAGATATCAACAAGTTAGATGGAAAATATTAATTTTACATTTCTGAATCCAAACAGTTAATTAGAAGAAAACAATTCTTCTAGGTCTATCTCCCAAATATTATAATACTTACAAAAAACCTTTAACAAAATATAAAACAAATATAGAATTGGCCTCATTTTTATAAGTATTACTTTTATAGAATTAAAATGTTCAACCCAAAAATCATCTCTTACATACACGTGGGCTAACCCGCCAGGTCAGAGACCCCTAAGTTTTGCTTTAGCCTTTCCTATTTTGGAATTACTAACAATAGGGAAGGTGTAGCCAACTTGCAGCACTTGCGCCACAAGGGCTTGGTTCGGTTCTTTTAATCCAGTAGCGGAATTATCAGTCATTTCATCCCGTGTCTACGGTTGTAAATGTGAAACATGTTCGGTGGCGTGACGTCTTGAACCCTGGACCTTTCAATACACAACCCTACACGCTGGCTACTATGCCACTTCTTGTCCTATTACACTGAAAATCACATTTGTGATACAATGGTTTATGATGCAGTACGTATTTATCTGTACAATATTTAAAATATATATACGTGAACAAAATTATTAAATTGCTTACAATGAAAAACGTTTAGATAACGGTCAGGTCAAAGTCTCTAGACGTCAAACACAGCTGGCCCTAATTTGTAAATTGCTGACCTGAGGGAGGTCAACTAGTCAGTAGCGTCCAGTGCCTATACGGCTACTCTTAATCGTATAGGGGGATTAAAATTCTTCTTGGACACTTGTGTAAAATCAAAATTAAATACAGTTGAAAACAACTTTTTTTTGGGGGGGGGGTTTACACAGTAAAAGACATTTTGATTTTAGACTGACCTACAGACTCAAATATCCTGTAAAACAATCCAAAATAAAAATTAGTTTTGTTCTATAAACCAAAAAAAGTTTGTTTTTTTATAAACTATATGGCAGGATTGACTGTCATTTTGAGAACGTGCCTACACCAGCGAGAATCTGGAGATCGTGAGTTCGAGCCCCCAGTAGCTCATCGATAAGTCTGGGAACTTACAACGCTAAAATTGGGTTTCTATACTCGTGCTGGGCACAGCACAGAGAGCCCATCGTTTAGCTTTGTGCTTAACAGCAAACAAACATCGTGAGTTTGAACTTTAGACTTTCTTATGCGCAACTTGGCAAGCTAACCACTAACTCACGCCTGGATCTGTATTAATGTGAAAACCGAACAAAAAGGAAAACGTAATTTTTGCACGTGGTACATATGATTTTATTTTTGTTTAAAAAATTGAATACTTTGGCAAGTGTTATTTAAATAGTTTTGTCAAAATCATCTGTGGTTAGACTTCTTCCCAGTTAAACGTGCTTCAGCCAATTTGTCGAAATTTCACTCAGTTCTTACAAAATACATTGATAATTTCAACGTTACTCTTTAAACCACCTCACACTGTTGCTGTAACTGTATGAAACAATGCATTCTAATATTAATTTTATAAGTAAGATCGTAATAACAGTATATTTATTAAGCTATGCTCATACGATCTATGTAGGTAGCTTGCTTTGAAGAAAAGTTAACGTTATTAATTTGTTTGTTTTAGACCAAAGCCACATTGGGCTATCTGGTGTGTATACCGCGGGAAATCGAACTTCGAATTTTATCACCGTAAGTGCGTAGACTTACCGCTGTCCTACCAGGGGACATTTAAATGTTAAATAGATATAAATGGAGATAGAAAACTCCTGTCCACTGTTGAATGGATCAATCACGACTAGGTATTTGGTACAAGGTCTGGCGTCTGTTCCACTTGACAAAACTATTTAATCATCTTTTCTCGTGGTCTCTGACGAGTTGTTGTAGCTACAGTTCTTCTCTTGTGTAGGGTATTCTTTTTAGATTGTCATAATTATTAGGCTTTGGTGACACGTCTTTAAAAATGAAATTATTGTAGCTCTGACTAAACGGGCACTTACTACTACGAACCTTTGAAAGTCAGAGAGTATCTTGCTCTTACCTTATGTCTTGCTGGCTAACAATGATATGGTTAAATCTCCGCAATCAACTGATATATCGCATCATCATTCAAATTTAATTATGCAAATAAATGAAATTCTCTTCGAATGTAAGTATAAGTAGAACGTCTGTATAAAGTGACCAGTGATTCTATTGTGAATACACCTAAACAGTATCGAAAATATATTTGTTTATTAACCATCACATTTAATTGGTTTTTGTTATGACATAGTTTTTATCAGTTTACGTTAATTCATTATGTACGTTTAGAATGCAGTTTCAGTACTTTGTGTCTACATCAGAGATGGAAATATTTCACATAAGTAAATAGTTCTCTTTCTTATGTCACCGCAGATGAGTGAATGGTTGCATATGTGGCGCAATACAGGTTCTTTTGTTTGTAGTTAAGCACAAAGCTATACAATGGGCTATCTGTGCTCTGCCCACCACGGATATCAAAACCCGGTTTCTAGCGTGATAACTCCGCAGACATACCACTATGCCACTAGGGGGGGGGGGTGTAGGTTTTTTTAGGATTTTTTCAATTTAAATTTATTCCTGAATAATTTTAAAGTTAGGCGTCCGTTAATTTATATCTCTTAAAACTAGTAGACAACCATTAGAAATTACCGATCAAAATCTGCAAATTTCACATTGGAAACTTATTCTTCCTACATTTTTCATTCTCTTGACTTGTTGAACCCCTTTGTCCCTAGTATTAGTCAATAAAGCTTAAAATCTTAACATTCTAGATAGATTAAATCTCCTACTGTATTCTAGTTTACATGATAAATGGAAGTGCCATTTGATTTCATACTGTTGCGTCAGTGAGGTCACGTGACCT